TGCCGACCGCGATACTCATCGGAGTATATAGTGAGGTGCATCAGTTTCCTGATTTTAGGGCCTTTCGAATGTTTCAGAAGACGTTGACACAGATCCGGGGCGGAAAGCCGGAGGATCTTGGCGACACCAGAATTGACGGATAGCAGTCGGAGCTGTTGATTAAGGAGTATTGATTAGGGAGTAGAATTGCTTTGAGGACCGGGGGTAAACCGGGCGAAGTCAGAATCGACCGGAGGAACCGGACGACTTGTCGCGCCGTAAACCGAGCCAGAAATCCCGCATATGAATGTTCCGAAAACCATTGATTGATGAAACGTACTAGTACAGTTGTTCTGAGGTAGAGAAATGTTCGTATAGAACGCGGGAGTTGAATCCCGAAGCAATCCAAAGGATTGAGAGTAGATTTGTTGCGAAATCATGAACCCGTGTGAAGGGAAGTCGTAAAAGGAAACAGAGAAGTCGTATTTTGCGTGTATAGGATGTTGATTAATTTTGAGAAACTCCGGGGCGATGTGACGCGTCCGGAGTGAAGCCGGAGGACATGTTGTCTAGTTTCCCGCCGTCCCGGTTGAACCGGAGTCCACCGGAAGGCCCATCGCCCGACAGGTCGATGGTGTTGCGGAAAAGCCTAGAGCAGGTGTTGACCTTGTGACGGGCCGACCCACAATAGCGACAGAGGCCCAACTCCCGGCGCCGGATGTACTCTTCATGACGAAGGTGTCCAGCTCGGGATCCCTCAACCTCGATAAGGCCTGCAACGGAGGCAGAGCGCTTACGCTTCTCCCGGTCAACCGCAGGCACCGGTGATAGGGCGTGTACCAAAACACGTATGAAAACGCATAGTTTTTATTCGATTCAGACCTACTCTAAGGCTACAGTGAGACTAGACAAGAGAGGGTACATTCTCCTCGGAATGGTACCCTACACCTTTGACGGCTGAAAGCCAGCGGGCCACTAGTTACTCAACCGCCCAGTAAGGGACCCTGTTGGGAACTGCGCTCAGTAGTTGAGTCAACCGTTGGGCTCGGGAGGTTAGCTTACCACTAAACTCTGGAGTGCTAGAGGTGAACAAGAGGACCTACTATGCCTTAGTAGCTGAACGGCACAAGCGTAGCCTTGTTAAACACAAGAGAACGATCGGAGTCTGACGAAGTGTGGTTGAGATTCACCAAACCCTATTCTAGGGTTTGGAGTTGAACGGCTCAATAGGTCCCAAACAAGTTGAACTACTCGATTAGAGTGATGAGAACGAGCGGAGTAAGAAAAGCAGAAGACCCCAAGATAGGGTTATGTCTGTAAGCGGTTTGCCCAGAACAGCAGCAACCCAGAAGGGCTTAGAAGCGACATAAGTAAAGATCTCTGATTGATTAAGAAGAAGCCTTGAAACCCGAGCGGTTCAACTTACGGAAGTTGAGTCGAGCGGCTGACGATGAATCGTGGACCATTATGAACTAGAGGGACAAGTGAGGATTCATGAGGCAACCTACGGGCAAGATAGTTTTGCTATGGTTAAAGTCTCTACGCCAAGGACGGGCCACTATTCCTCATTGAGAACATCAGCCGCTCACATATGGACCTGTCAGAAACTCATCAGGCAGTAACATGGGCAAGATGTTGAGAGATTACACAGACCCCAAGCGGCTCAATACTGGAAAGCACAGTAAGGAGCGGCTGAGGAGTACACACCCAGAATGAGCGGTGTAAATACCAGCCGTTGATTACACTCAACAGGTGGGCCGCTCACCTCGAGTGAACCAGATAGAAACCCAGATAGTGGTAGATCCCAACCGGAGGATACCACAAAAGACTGAGGAATGCCAGCGCTACTATTGGCTGCTGGCGCCCGAACCGCCCGTTGACAGTAAGCACACCATATAGCGGGTGCACAACATCTCCTTTCAGTTTCTTAAACTCGTATAAATACAGCACGAATGTAATAATGTAGACCAGTAGACCACCCCCCCCGGGATTGTGAATATTACTCAGAGACAGTGAAAGATCAGATTAGTGCAATAAGATTGGTTCAGAGCTAGTACGATACGTGAACTAAGCCGTTTAAGACCATTATAAGTGCAGGGATTAACCAGTCCATCCGCCCATTGGAAGCCAGCCGTTCTACGGTTCCAAAAGCAGTTGTTGAGCACGGCTCCAGCCGCTGACTTTGAGCTCAGCTCAGTCAATCGAACCGTTTGAGTTTCTGGAAACCTTCGTCCTCTCGGTCTATTGAGTGACTTGTTCTGTGGTCAGACCCGTCCTCGTAGCGTTGTGCGAAACCTTTTTAAGGTTCCTGTTCTCACAGACACTTGCAATACAAAAGCATTTCAGAAGCCCCCACGCAACTTAGTGTGAAGAACGAGCCCACCATTGAATTAGAACCTTTGAACTAACTACCTTGAAGAGTGATACGTACTCTACCTCCCCGAACAAACCTACGAAGCATTGAGATTGAGAGCTAGTGATTGATTTAGATTTGGATTGATTGAGTTTTGGTTGAGTTACACTTGCTGCGCTCGTTAGTTCGTTTTTAGGGATTTCACGGCTGTACTCTGGTGCACCGTTTCACCGGCACCTGGATGGTGTCGTAACCGGAAGCGACCGGAGAAAGCAACGGGAAGGAGGAATGCTCTTGGGGGAGCGAGATGAGCGAGGGTATGTCGGAAGAGGTGTCCGATAGAGGAGGGTAGGTCAAGAGCGACCAAGGAGCACCAGAGTCGACGTGGATGGTGAATCCTGGGAGCTCCGGGTTCTCCGGTTCGCGCGGAGGCGTCCCAAAGAATCCGCGCCCGGACTCGGCCCAACCATTCTCCTCTTGAGCGAGTGCTGCCTTCCGAGATTCCTCTTCCAGCCAGAACTGCTTGTCCAAGCGACTGGCCATGGCCCGGAGACCGGGGTAGGTGGAAGGGAATCGATTGGTTTGCTCCATCTGGAACGTGATGCGATAAGGAAGTGCGATGAAGAGGGCGTGCATGGTGGCAGTGTTGCTCCAATCAAGCCACTGCATGATGCTATCAAATTTCTCGATGAAGACAGCAAAACGTTGGTCGTGTTTCATCCGGAGTCTCCGGAGTTGAGTTTCAGCAAAAGTCGTTTCGTCCGCTCCGGTGAAGACGTCGAGGAACTCCTCGATGAACGTGGAAAAGTTTCCATGCCAAGGACGGTGCTCCGTCCCAACCATGGAAAAGTACTCCGCTGCTTCGCCCCGGAGCCGAGACAAAACGAACATGACCTTGTCATCGTCCATTCGGAAGGTCCGGGGGCGAAGTCCGAAGTAAGTGTAAACCTCGGCAATGAACGTCCGAGTGTTTCTCCAATCAGAGCTGTCGTAAAGTCTGGGGAGTGGAATGGAGTCGGAAACGGAGGGAGTTTCAACCGGAGTATCGACCGGAGTAACCGGTGATTCAGGGAGTGGAGCAGGTGAAGCCGACAGAGCTTCGAACTCGGCCTGGAAAGGCGAGTCCGAAGACTCCGGTAGAACCGGAGTTGCTGAAACAGGAGATGGAGACGAAGGAACCGATGCAGGATACTCAAGAGAGAGATCCTCCTGCATGTCCTCGAACCGTGCGGCGAAAGGATGCTCGACCGCAGGTACGAGGGACCGGAGCTGCTCTTGAGGCGCCTCTACAACTCCGGGAGCCATCGGAGAGGCCGCCGGAGGAGAGGGAGCCTTGACGACAAGAGTAGCATAACCTCCATGCCTGAAAGGCACAGTGATAATCCGGGGTAGAGGTTCAGAGGTGTCCAGAGACAAAGAGGAATCAGAGTCAGAGGAAGTGTCGAACAAAGCCCGGATAGGCCTGTAGTCGTCCGAGTCTTCGGAGACGAGGTCCACCGAGGTGCTGCGAGGGCGGAGATGTCCAGACATGTCGAAGGAAGAACCGAGCAGTGAGTTTGTTAATACTGTTATATCCGTGCGGACGGATGAAGGACGATCGACCGGAAGATGATCGGAGTAGCCGGAGTGGGTGCACAGAGCCGGACGATGGTGGAAAGACTACGCGACAGTTGCGCTGCACGAGCCTAGCTGCACGGTGATTCCAAGCGGGACAGGGGGACAAGTCCGGTAGGGTGACGACCGGAAAAGATCGGAGTATCCATGGAGTTCTTCACAGGAGGAAAGGGAAGAAATGTTTATTAACAAACTGAAGAACAGGAAGTAGTTTAGGTGATTAAGTAGTAGGAAGTCTATTGTACTTTGTAAAGGGAATAGTTCGAAGGTGAGGCAGAATAAAACAATAAGAGTTGAGTCCGAAAGGGGTTAGAAGGAAGTAACAATAAGAAAGAAGTTCAAAACGTTGCAATAGAAGTTGAGACCCACTCGCGCCCCGGCCTCGAGGCCCAAGGTGCGATAAGGTGACATAGAGTCCCACGGATGAATACCGGAGTAAGCCGGAGGCCGGGGCAAGACCAGTAGCAACCGGAGTGGTCCGGAGTGGAATCCATGGTCCAAAGTGATCTTCTAGGATGTGGATGTGCATGGATGTAACAGAGCGACAAGACTTCGTATCCTATCGAGAACTCTCTCTAGGACGTAGGGTCGCTAGGGATGATAATATCAGTAACAGGTGACCGTCTAGGGCTCACCTCGTAACACCGAGGGTCTTGAGCAAGTAGTTAAGAGTACTTGTGAAAGGTCCTTATGGTGGGACGAAGTAAGGTAGTAGAAGTGATATTCATCAGGCCTAGGCCCGGAGTTAAGTTCTACCTCGTACATATCGTGCGTAGCTCGCGCTGTGCTAAGTCGTAAAGATAGAAAGTAGAAACAATACAGGAGCATACTTGTACAACCGCCGGTTGAACGGCGGTTTTGAATAGCGAACCGGGACCCGTTACAAGGTCTTTGATTTGAGTCCCCGGAGCAGGTAAGCTCATTCTCGACCAACTTTGTGTCGTCCTGCACCAACCAAGACCTTCAAGACATTGCACCGGTCTACTTTCGACGATGGGGGACGCTCCAGTGATAGGCTTGTGATTTGGTCACGCATGAAATGGTCATAAAAGGATGGCTCTTGCAGGATTTAAACCTGCGACCTCTTTACTTCATGAGAAGTGCTCTAACCAACTGAGCTAAAGTGCCGACAAAGGCTTGTAGCCTGGCTGCGATACCCTGTACCATCCCCTACCACTCACATCAACTGCAAGCTGGCTCGGGGCTTGGGGCACTGACCAGCCCATCACTGGAATGCCGCGACTTGAAACACGACCGCGCGAGACCGGGCACCGCAAATTTACATGACTTGAAGGTGGAAATTTCAAGTATGTGCTTTTTGCTCAGCTCCTATCCGTACTGCCTGAATTTCCCTGCACAGCTGTTCATTTGACCCTTCTCTGTCGGTTTGCGAGCGCTGCATGTCGCTCTGCGGCCCACGCCGCCGCGCAGAAGGAAGGGGACAATTGTGGTGAAAATTGCATTCCGAGATTTAAAGTGCGTAGTTCTTCGTCATCTCCCAGTCATTTTGCATGAACCAAAGGGTTCACAGGTCCGCCTAGACTCCCCCTCGTGACATACGATGCCAAAAACGCCACAAGAGGATCGCATTCGAAACGCGCCAACGCGAGCCCGAAAACACCGCGGAACACAAAATTGTGGACCAATTTAAAGTCTAAACTTGAAGTGTGTATCTCTTGCTTGGTTCTGACTTATCCTGCGTGAACCAAAACGTACAGGGTGTCATATACCTCCTCCTCGTCTGTCCGGAACGCCTGGGTGTCCGCGACTGGAAATGTGATCGATGCGAGCCAGGTCACAACTTGAGTGAGCAGGGGTTCATGAACAAAATATAGGTGCGTGCTTCGTGCTTCGTTTATACAGGTTGCCCTCAAACCGAAGCATGCAGGCATTCCCCTTCATTGTCCCACTTGACGTAGACGCGCTCCACGCCGATCCTACGATGATGTGAGCTTAATTTTGGCTCAGCTCGGAGTCCTGCATCTCCAGGTATAAAGTGTGTCTTTCTCACTAATTTCTGACCCGCTTCATCTGAACTAAAGTACGCAGACGTTGGCTCCGACACTCCCCGTCGACTCATCAGGATCCTGTGTTGACACCCCTGGAAACGTGTCGATGGGAGCTCAATTAATCTCCCGGTCTTGAACCTGGCAAAGATTCAAGGTGCGTGGATTTCCTTTCCCTTCCCACGCATTCCTCCTGAACTGAGAGCATCCAAGCGCTGGTCAGGATGTTGCCTGTCAATACGCGAGCATCCCACGTCCGCCTTCTTCGAAACACCGTTGCGCGAGGACGAGGAGTGCCAAGGAGGTAGAAATGGTAATTCTGGGAAAGGTATGCAACACTCCCTCAATTTGGCCGTGAAGGGCTCGTACTGAACTGTGATTGGTTCATAAACCTCCTGTTGCAGCTCATATGGTTAGCTTATCGCGATAAAATATGGGCGGAGCCCGCGGGTCTATCGCGATAAGTTTGGGCAGTCCCCGCGCATGCTGTGCTATGCACGTGCAGCGTAGTTCGGCGCCGCGGCAGCCCCAATCATGATGCAGAATCGGTTTGCCCTGCCGTCGGACTTTGAAATCGGAGCGCTGCGCCCACGTGACGGCGCTCCGTCGCATCCCTCCACGTCCCTGCTACACTACCAGCGCCCTGGGGGCCGCGCGGGGCCCACTTTTGCGGCTTTCCCACGCATTAATAAATCCCTTTCCCCCCGGTATTTTGGGGGGTTTGGGGTGATATTTACCTGGAAATAGGCAGTAAATACCCCTATCTTCTCTGTGCCCATTCGCTGAACCCGCCCGAAGCCCAAGGGCCGCGCGGGGGCCTACTTTTGCGCATTTCCCACGGGCGCAAATATATTCGCCCTCCCCCCCGTATTTTGGCGGGGATTTGCCGATGATTACCGAACCATAGGTAGTAGCTACCCCCGAACGTCCTATAGCCCATTTCCTGAACCTCCCGATCCCCTGGGCGCTGCGGCGCCTGCATTTACGCATTTCCCACGCTCCGTCTAAACTGGCTTCCCTCGAAATCTTGGGGGGGCATTGGTTCATAATTACAGTATGTACTACTTACCCAAGCCCCAAGGCTGCTCTATGCCGATCTACAGCACCATCCACAAGCCTGCCACATCGATTTCCAGGGCAAAAGCATGGGAAATCGATTTCCCCTCCGCGCTCCTCCCACTACTCCTCCATGTCCCCGTCAGGATCCCTCGCCATCTCGTCCATCTCCTCCTGCGACAGTTTCAAGTTGCCACCGCCCCTTTCCTCCCCCATGGACCCCTCCCTGCGTCACGCCATTTTCGGAATCCCCCGCCGCAGCCGCTCTTGCAGGTAGCCCTCCACCGTTACCATCAATATTACTCATTCGCCCTCCCCCGCCGTTAGCGTCCTTCGTCGTTGCTGGCGTCAAAACTCGCGAGTTGGCGGCGGACTCGGGTTCTTCCGGTTCAGCTCTTCCCCCCCGCTGAAACGGAGCCGGTGGGCGTGGGGGATGTGGTAGCAGTCCTTGGTTCCAGTCTGTTAATGTTATTTTTTTCAACGGGCGTTCAACTTGAAAGGTACTCACCCTGCCTCTCGAAGCATTTTTTGAAGAACCCATGTTACGTCATCCACCGCACCTTCCCAATCGGGCGTGCTCTTCTTCGTCGCGTCGCGCCACCATTTCAAGACCATCAAGACGTTGAGGAAGCCATTCTGGCCCCGCGCATCCATGCTCGCCCACGTCTCGCCACTCCTGCACGCCATCGGCCGCGTTTCTCCACGCCAGGTCGGATTGATATCAATCCACCAAACCCAGAACCTCCCTCCCAGCTCGTCGCCGTTCGCAGGTGTGTGGTTCCGCATTCTTGCTACCCAGTCGCCCACCTCCTTCGGCCGTTTCTTCGCGCGATGTCCTTGCCGCTGTATGTAATCACGTCAACTTAACGCAATTGGAGGGCGCACGACAGCAGCGGTACTCACGGTGCCAACGAATTCGAAGCTTTCCTCCCTCGCCCACCACGCTGCCAGCAACCCAGTCCACTCAGCTCCGAAGTCTGTGTTCGACAAGAAAGACTTGGCCGTCGTCGCCCACTCGTCTCCCCCCTTCGCGGCCGCCTTGGGCTTCATTCCTCGCTTCGCCGGCGCTCTGGAAGTCTTCGGCGCCACCTCGGCCTCCGTCTCTCTCCCCTCCTTGCCCTCGCCCTTGCCCTCGCCCTCGCTGTCGCTAGGCGCCCCCTTTCTCTTCTTCCCCTTCCTGTGCTTCGCTGGTGCCTTTCGTTTCGGCGCCGGCGGCGCAACGGCACCTCCCCACAATGTCTCCTTCTCCTTCTCACCAAGCCCGAGGATGTTGAGCGTGTAATAGTTCCGCGCGTTGTTGTTTTCCCGCTCAATCCCCTCGGCATTCATCGCCTTCAGCTGCTCAATCCTTGCCCCTCTCGCATCGGCATCCATCTGGCCCAGCAGCATCAGCAGACTGGGATTCAGCGCTGTCGCGAACTCGGGGCTGTAAGGATCAATCATTCCCTCCGTCGAGAACGATCCCTCAGCGCCTAACGACCCCTCCCTGCCGGCGATGCTGTATCCCAGGTTTGGTAGTTCCGCCGCCCTCTCCACCGGCCCTGGCATCAACGATAAAGGAAAGTCGAATTTGTCGAAGTCCCCAGGAAGACTCGGCAGATGCAGTGTCTGTGGGTCCGCCAACACTGATGAAGACGACGACAACGAGATCACGGCAGACGACGACAACGAGACCACGCCAGACGACAACGTCGATGCGGGCATGGGCGCCACAAAGCTCAAAGCCGCGTGTGGAGGTTCCCCCGTTGTCGCTGTCGGGGGTTGGGTAGGCGCCGGCGCTGAAGGCGGCGGGACTTCAGCGCCATCGCTCCTGGTGTTGCCCCGTCCGTGTCGGTACTCGTCTACCCCACCATCAGTACAAAAACTCGGTACCATTTGAATATAGAAGACTTACATGCATCCCAAACAAACGTGCTGAACTTCCGCATTACCGCCTTGTATTCCCCCGTCTTGGCCCGAGAAAGATCCAGCATCGGAGACGACTCCGCCGTCACCCCCGGCGTGCAAGCTAATTGCGTCTTCAGCAACTCGTTTCAAAGCGCAAAAGAAACCGCCACGCACCTCAAACACTCGATATCAACCTTCTCCCCGTCCTCCTTGCGTCGCCTGGCCAGCAGCGAGATTTCATAGCCCGTGTGCACTGCCAACCCATCCAGGAGAGGCCCCACCAGCTCTGAAAAACGCGCTCGAGCTCTTGAAAAACACCCCATCATCAGCTGAGCGATCTCTATTCTTTCGTGTGGTACTCACTCTTCTAGCCCTTCCTCGTCCAACGCCGGGAGCCCCTCCTTCGCGTTCTCCTGCTTTGCCATCAGGGCTGCGTGCTCACTGTCCGCCTCGCCTTTGATGCGCGCGCGTCGCGTCAGACTCTCCCGCCAGGAGCTCCCGCGCCACCTGCGAACGTAGCTTTAAGAGCTCCTTGGCCTCCAGTCCTGCTCGTCGCGCATCCACCAAAGCCACGACCCCGGCCTTGAACTCCGGATGTTGCATGTAGAACTGGAAGTCGGCCAGTCTCTTCGGCGGCGGGGCCTTCGGGGTGCGGAATCGCGTCAGCCAAGGCGCCCATGGGTTATTCTTCGTGGATGCCGCCTTTCCTTGGCGCCCCATCCATGCTTTGATTTTCTACGTTGTTCCTTTTTAGCGCCTAGTTTTTCCAGGAATTAGTACACTACTCACCATTTCAGTGGTGGACATCGTCATCTTCTTCTCCGCCTCCTCCTCCTGGTTCTCTGGCGCCCGCGCGTAGTCGATTGGGTCATCTGGGACTGGGTCCTGCTTCAAGTGGAGACGCCAGAGAAACACCTTCCAGTACGCGATGAAAATGTCGTCCCAAATTTTACGCGTCTTGCCGACTTTCGACGCCTCCAGGTATGTTTGCACATTCGCTTGTAGAAATTGCGCCCGTTGGCCTTGGAAATCGCTGGCGTCGCCGGTCTTTTTCTTCACAGGTGCACCAACTGCAGACATCAGAAAGCGTCTTGAGGTCAAAATTCGAATGATATTGTCACACGTTACCGCATCAGTCCTCTCCATGAAACAAACACTTCCCGAGCTCAGTCCTGAAAC